AAACGCTAACTAACTCAATTTAACCCCCTTCCCCCCCCCTCCATCAGGGACGGTCCCCTTAAACAGAACAGCTGCCCTATAAAGTACAGATAATGCACATCATAATTTAGTCTTTCTTAACACATCAAAACAAACCTTTTTACAGGTTTCTGATATGTTGTTTCTTCTTCTGGGAAGAGCCAAAATCTTGACAGGTTCCAGCACAGCCTCTTGACGCAACACGGAGATTCCATCCCTGTAAGAAAATAAGTTATTTTACAGCAATAAACAAATCTGTTCTATATCTCTCTGTTAATTGATGGGAGATATGTCTAACAACCTTACCAAAGCAAAGCAAAAAAAATATAAGGAACCTAAAAACAACATTTATAAGCTGTTTTCCTTTAACCCACATTTGCTAGGAAAATACTGTGTTTACTGTGGTATTGTTTTGTAAATTTCTCTGTATACTGATGCCTCTACAAGTGCTGAGCCACAAAGTAGTCAATAAGTAGACCTTGTGACTTCACCTGGTTTCACCAATCTCAATTTTGGCCAAAAACTGTTTTTAATAATACTATCAATAACGATGCTGTTATAATCATGATAACAGTACTGACATTACTAACAGAAATATAGGATACCAGAAGATATCTCCGAAAGTCGAGCAATAGGGCCTGTGGAGCTATCTATGTGTGAAGATGATTAATAAACTTAACTCACAATGGGCAGGGCATGTGCATGAGACACCTGTCATTGTTGGGTTAAGGCTCCCATCCTCCTTTTCCTCAAGGTGAAGGGGACATGTTGCCTTGAGCACATAAAGCTTTTGGAGGGAGTTTGACTCAGTAGACCTTTAGGATGGGCCTCTTACATTAATATTGATGGGAAATGACATGTACAATCCATGAGCTATGTCAGGAAGAGCAACAGCACCAGGGAGGACACACGCAGGAACCTATTCCTGACCACAGTTACTAGCAGGATACGGCGTGTTATCGAAAACTGAATAATACGAAAATATCAAAACATACCACAAATAATAAGAGTATCCTTTATCATCACTGTTACTGAACAGAGCGTAAACCCTAGAGAGATGATATGGAGTCTACTCAACATATGAAAAATATTGATTTCAGACCATGATAAAACAAAAACATGTCTGCAAATAAAGAGCTAATACCATTGTAAAGAGAAGGCAAGGTGTCTCAATACCATGCATGAATGTTCATGTGAGTCAAGCCTAAAAACCACACACCTGGGAGAATGGCCACTTAGGTAAGCCTAAAACCAGGATTTTGGTCTACATGCTAGCAATGAGGCACCTTGATCCAACATGTTAATGATCCCCCTTTCTAAATGAAAATGTCCCTGAAATAACTGTTAATAATTTTTTCTTTTACTCTTTTGTCTTGATTGTAATACAGTCACAACAAAAATTTTAATGCTTGGCAGAGGATCAATATGCAGTAAAGAAACCAATTTACCAATCTCTTCACACCAAAAAGTTATGTGTAATAAGTCACATAAAAAATGTTCTTCTGGTAGATAAAAATATAAATAATACATAAAGTAGCTTAATACCTGAGAGCAGACACAGCTGCATGGTTAAGTTTCAGCTGTTCCATTTGGGCATTAAGATATGTCATAGTGTCAAAAAAGGCTGATGATTTTCTTGCTATCTGCCTGCTCATGTCCATTTCAACAGTTTCTAAATAATGAAAGAGCTGCAAAAGAAAAGAAAATAATGTAAAATCAGGCTTGCTTTATTCAATAACCACTAACAAAATAAAAATATTTTTTTTGTTTCATGTTTCCATACATTTCAGGCTTTGCTTATCATCTACTATGTACATACCTTTTCTTGTAAAATCTTTGCATTCTTAACACTAACACCAGAGGAAGATACATGCGTAAAAACAGAGAAAAACGTCTCTGGATCCTCCAAATTAAATGTACTGGAGAGGAAGATGTTAGGAATACCTTCCTGTGGCAGCTGGTCTGTAAGTGGAAATTTCATTAAAACTTTTGTTAAATAATACAAAATGTAATCAATAAGCAGAAGTGTGTAAGTAATGAAAGTAACAAATATACTATTCCAGCACTTGATACATACAAAAACTATTACAATAATTAAAAAGAGATAAGTAGCAAAATATTCAATAAAACAATAAGTTTGGTTCATCAGAAGACAAGAAAACAAACCTCTAGAGCTTGGTGTTAAGAATGAATGTTCAGATTCATCTTGTGCCTTACTGGCCTGAACTGATGCCAGTCTTGACAGCAACTTCTGTCTCCGTCTAAGCCTTCTTACATAAGATTCTACATGTTTGGCTGTAACTTGTGGAAGCGCGACATGAGGAGGTATCTCTTTTATTTCCACAAAACTCTCTCCCCAAGTTCTAGTGAAGAAATCTCTCTGAAAAAAATTGCCAATTAAAACAGTAAGAGATATTCAACTAAAAAAAAAAAAACACATACAAATGTACAAAAAAAAAAAAAAAAAAAAAAAAAAAAAAATCACATTCACACAAGCACAAATTCAAACAAAAACACAAAGACATTTTTTTTTAATATTTGAAAATCTAATGAGGCACATCAATGAACAGCATTCATTACAACAACTATAGAAAAAGGAATGAAAGAAAATGAATGCGTTTATACCCAAAAGATCAAACATACATTTATTTTTAGTGAAGGTATATTCAAAACCAGTGAAAAGCACCTCTTGCACTGTGAAAATATTCATTCTCATTCAAACCTTTGCCGACAACACTCCAAAACACTTGAGACCTGGTGCCTCACCTTCATTCCCCTACGGGGGTCGTTCAGAACAGCAGCTACATTTTGGGTCGAAGAAAAGACACCCCATTTCTCTTCTCTTCCTTGCGTCTGAGCTTTTGAGATCACTCCAGAGCTCCCTGACAAATGAGATAAAATCAAACACATAATTTGTATGTAAAAAAAGGGGGTTTCTATTGTGTTTTCCAATATTCAAATAAAAGAGCAAGAGAAAAAAAAACCTATGACATGAAATTCAATACAATACTATTTCATTCCAGTTATTTTTCACACCCACCTTTACTAAACATAGTGAACGCATGGTGTTTAAGCACGTGATCCTCATAGTCTTTGTCACTCACTCCCTCTAAAGGTAATGATGAGCACACACCATTGTAGCCATAACGACAAACAAAGCTTCCACCTTCCTTTGTGCAGTGACATTCACGGATATGTCTGCAATGTTTGATGTACAAGTTTAGGGGTATTTTCATAGTTATATTTCACACAGGTTGAATTTTTCTTGCATTTTTACAAAATTAAAAAAGACAAAGGTATACCAGACAATATTTCAATCTGAATACCTAAAATACAAAACTTCACACAAAATCAGGATCAAATAAAAATAAATAAGAAAGAAGAGTTCTGATTCAAAGTATTAGCATTCCTGTATTACAGACTACATAAAGCAACAAATGGCACATGCAGCACTACATAAATTGCACAACATACCATAAGATCAATGTCATATCAACTGCGGAGAACATCATCTACAGACAAATGCCATGAATGGAAGGAGACACAAAGAGGTGAAAAAACACAAAGTCAAACGGACAGATAGAAAAACAGACAGATAGACAATTAGGCTTGTTAGTAGGTAAGAAGGCAGGCAGGCAGGCAGGCAAGTAGGCAGGCAGGCAGGCAGGCAGGCAAGCAGGCAGGCAGGCAGGCAGGCAGGCAGGGAGGCAGGCAGGCAGGCAAGCAGGTAGGTAGGTAGGTAGGTAGGCAGGCAGGCAGGCAGGTAGGCAGGTAGGCAAGCAGATAGGCAGGCAGGCAGGCAGGCAAGTAGGCAGGCAGGCAGGCAGGCAGGTAGGCAGGCAGGCAGGCAAGTAGGCAGGCAGGCAGGCAGGCAGGTAGGCAGGCAGGCAGGCAGGCAAGCAGGTAGGTAGGTAGGTAGGTAGGCAGGCAGGCAGATATGCAAGAAAGCATGCAGACAGGCAGACAAGCAAGCAAGCAGGTATTTATGCAAGTAAGCATGCAAGCAGGCAGGCAAGCAGGCAAGCCTGTAGGTACACAAGTTGTCAGGTAGACAGGCAGGATGGCAAGCAGGTAGACACGCAAAAAGGCAGGCAGGTATATAACCAGACAGTGAAGACAAGCTGTGACAGAGGGACATACACAGACACATAGACTGAGAAACAATTAGAAAGTGTAAGTGAAAGTCTGAGCAAGACCAAAGGAAAAACTACAAAGGCAATAGCAAGTGCGAGCGGAGATAAATGAGACCAATATGATCAGAATGAGAAAAAACCTGTCAAAATAAGTTTTAAAATTAGACTGAATATCTGATGCATAACCATGATACAATACGAACCAATGTCTGTATTAGCACTAAAAATAGGAACAAACATAAAGATGTGAATAAAGAATAATTACAAAGCATCAGATCAAGAGTCAGAAATAACATGAATTTGTAAATTTATGTCAGAATTAGAAAATGACAAAAGTCTTTGGAGGTGAAAATGTTCTCTTTTTTTATTATTATCACCTTTTGAATGTGTGACTTTATCAAGAATGAATATTATGTGGAAATGAAATATGATCAACCATGGAGGATTCATGGCAGAAAAAAGAATGTATTCCCTATATCAAATTCATGTGAAACACTCATACAACTTTTGGAAAAACCATGTCTCGACCTGAGCAATATTTTCCTAACCCACCCTATACATTTCCCTTTCCAGGGTGGTTCTGCCACCCATGCAACACCCCACTGGGCCAATAAGTGATTTACCCAAATCAACCAACCCAACCAAGCCAAACCCATCCAAACCCAACCAACCAAACCCATCAGAATTCCAATCCAATCCAAACCAACCCAGCAGCTGCACTAATGTTATCAATAGATGAAAAGTTGTTACTGAAAGTAGCTCATAAAAATTGAACGTAACTTCATTCCCTTACATCAGACACAAAAGTTGTTAAAAACTGAAGAACAATTTTCTATTACTAGCATTTAGTGCTAGTTAGTAGAAAAAAGGCTAGCTGATGCTACTGATGATTCATATTACCAACTACATTAGCAATACTTAACACAGACATACACATTAACCCATTCTGCAAGGTAAAAAAGTTTGGCAAGTGGACATGATTGCGGCATTGGTGGTGCACATCAGCAGTTTCCCTTGTTTGCACCCAACTCATTCTGTAGTTTGCAAGCGACATTCAGTACCTAAAAGCTTTTATTTTGCTATAGTTTTTAATAATATAAAAAATTTGAAGGTTTACCTTCACTTTAGGTGTTATTGCCTTAAAGCTTAATCATATAAATAAAGCCGCTAATATCAGAGAAAAACAAGCTTTGTCCGATGGGCCAATGACGCAGAAATGGTTGTTACTACTTTGTCCACAACTGCCATGGCATGCACATACTTGCCACCCAGCAGCAAGGGGTTAATGACATTCTGACATAATCTATTGTTTGAATATAGTACATATAGGAGACTAAAACTAATGATTAGAAACTATACATGAATCTGCCTGTGCATGTGTGTGGGTATGTGAATGCGTGAGTGCCTGTGCGTTTGCAAGTGCCTGTGCACATGTGCATGTGTGTATGTGTGGGGTGCGTGCATGCATGCATGTGTGCGTGCGTGCGTGTATGTGCCTGTGTCTGTGCCTTTGCCTGTGTCTTTGCCTATGCCTATGCCTATGCCTGTGCGTGTGCATGTGTGTGTTAGTGTGCGTGTTCCTTTGCCTGTGTGAGTACATGCATGTGTGTTTGTGTGTGAATGTGTGTGTACATGTGTGTACTGGTATTCATGTATATACACATGCAAGCTTAAAAACCTACGTGGTAATGCGAAAGTATTTCTGCAACAAGATACTGAAATAAAAAATCTGTGAAGCATTTTACCAAGCAAAGCCAGAACTTAAGGGGGAAAAAATCTAAATCATTAGTAAAAGCAACCAAACATGCATCACTCACTTGAGGAAATCATTAGGGACTTTGAAGATGCGTCCCTGACAGTACAGACACTGACGCCAACCATTTGCCGCCACTGTGGACGACCCTAGGCCACTTCCCACTTCAGTCATTATGCATGTTCATTATGCTAGCAACTGTTAGTTTGGAGAATTGGAAAGACAGTATGTTAATGCACAAAAGCATATACAAGTGAGAGAACCTTACTAATCTACAACATATAACTATGAAGGAGAAAAGATATAAAGCACAGAGAAAAGTTACCAGAAAATCTTTCAAGTCAATCTTAAGAGGATATCAGAAAACCCAATGAAAACAAAAATATCATAAGACAGATCTACTACATAATATATACAGTATACCACTGGAATGATCAAGAGTAATTTTTTTTTACAAAACCTTTTACAACTGAAAAAAAAAAAAAATAATAATAATAAATACTTCTTCAGACAAAGTTCTGGTAGTTCTTAACCGCATGACGCACTCACTAATGGCTGTCACCGACTCTACATCACAAGCTTTGTTCAATAATCTAAATCAACTCTATCCTCAGGCACCTGCCTGAGGGGAGAGTTGATGGGGGGTTCTGCCCCCTAACAACTCCAGCAAAAATTGTCTTCACCTCAGATAAATTTGAAACTCAGGAGCACTGAATAGACTCCCAGTGTGAGCTGCATTTTCCACAATTTTTTCTTTTATTTGTGGAATTATCGTTCATGTCTGCAGATTATTTCTTGTAACAATGACTTCAACTTTTTATTCTCTATAAGAACATCGTCTTCAATTTACCCGAGCTAACACATCCACGCAGTAAAGATTAACCAAAGTTATAAAGGTAAACAAAATGGATTAAATATATAAAATTATAATGTCAAGATGATTAACATACAAATAAATGTCAACAAAAATACATGAACCAACCACTCTCACAGCCAAAAATATTTTGAGGTCACTACTAATTCATGTTCTGGCTCATTTTCATCCTTAACTTTCAGTACGTCTGTGCCCACAATGACAGGGTAACAGCAGTTATAGAAGTAATCTGATACATCATCATCCACCAGAAGAATCAGTACCACTCTCTCAAAATATTTCAGCTATCTGCTAGATTGATAAAATGACTAAAGGTCTTTCATAGCTTGATGAAATGGGAATAACAATATCAAAGATGCACATCAGTTAGTAGTTCAGGTTATATATCAACATAAATGTACAACTGACAAAATCTATATGATCTATTAGACATTTCATATCTTGACAGTCCTACGAATCATACAGACAACTAGAGTAGGTACCTACTAATGATAGAATACTGTCTATCCTAAAAAGAATATGAATACAATGGCCAACTCCATTGCTTTGTGTTGCATCACAAAATGTTGTTATATTTTCCCTTTCAATTGGTTTAAGTTTCATCATATCAAATCATCATATAAAGTATTAATGCTAATGGTAAAGAGTGAAAAGAATATTTTGATAATCAAATCACCTGAATACAATCATAGATTTTACACCTTTGTGGACTGTGACAAAGTATCATTGTATATTCCATTTCCATTCAGTTTGACTTGATTCTGAGAAAGCCAGTGTTAAATCCATTAGCCTCTCATGTACACCAACATTTACAAAGCAATATCATAACAAGTTGATCCCTCTTTTTCCCCACTCTTGGAAGCTCATCGACCTGGATGACATGCTTTGAGCAGGAACAAAGTCTCTGGACTACTGTAGATGAAGGGCAATTTCAGTGAACTACTGACAAGTTTGTCTTTTCCCATCCCTCAGGATTTTATATAAATCCTGATACCTCATAGTCAAAGGGCTAACCATGACTCCATGAGTGCAAATATACCTGCCAAATCCAATGTTATTTTGGTGTATCAAGAATTAGAAATTCTGATATTTATCACTACTAACCCAATCTGTATATGAAGACACTTATATAGTTTCATTACAACAACTTGTTCCTCTTGTCTGACCTAGGAAGTGCTGAATGCTAGACAGGTCAAGAATGACAATATACAATAAGCCTGAAGACAAACCTGGTAGTATTGTTCGTCAAGGGAGACCTGTTTATTACCAGATATCTGGAATTATACGACAAATAAGTCCATTTACATTCATCACAAATCTTGGGATACATTTTGGTTATCCTATACATAAATTATATATATATATATATATATATATATATATATATATATATATATATATATATATCAACCTGGTAATTATATATCTGGATGATAAATACATATACACTATCCTGTTCTTTTATTTCTCTAAGTATGATTTCACCAGGAATCAGTTGTGTTTGCAATTTTAAAGACATATTGAATATCTATATTCATAACACTACAGGTACCAAAAAACTATTTCACTCCTAAATAAGCTGACCTATGGATATACACTACAATAAACATGAGGAAATGACATTTTGACATTAGGAAATTGCTAACAAAATAAAGGAACTGCTCCCTTAAAGAGTGCACAGACAACAGCAAAAAACACTAGTCACAAAGTCAATCATTCTAACAGTAAATTTCTAACACAGTGCATAACAAAAATACCAAAAATACTACAAAAAGGCTCATTCTCGTATGTTCCTTCCACTCAGGCAGTGTCTGTCAACCTACCCAAACAACTTTGTTTTTTTTAGGTGAAGCTTCAATTCTCATTGACCTTGAAGTCTAGAGGTGCAAATTCTGATTTCTAAAGTCTGATACATTAATCATAAACTACTATATACCACCGGATACATATGTTCTTCCGCTACTAGGTCCTTCCCTCGATATGTTAATTTGTCGTTTTCAAAAACCGATCGAATGGAATAAATTCCTCCAAGAATGGTTTTGTAAAGCCAAACTATGTGTCCACATAACAGCTGGTTTTCTAATGACTCCTAAAATATTCATTCTAAATAAGTACAATAATTGGAACTTACGATTAATTGAGAGTTTTGAGAGTTTTGACTTCTGTTTGGTCATGACACTTCTCAGCTGAGCCACCTCTGCCTTTTGCACGGACCATCCTAGCGATAGTCGGGAATGTTATGTGATTATGATATATGTGTTCGTTCCTCTACTTCATAGGTACCTTCGTGTTATTTAAAAAAAAAGTTTTATGTAATTGGTGATTTGTTTTTTCACAGAAACTGATAAGTGCTTAAAAATGCAGATAATGGTTTGGTTTACAGTAAAACAAAAGTTTAGGTCCACAGGATTTAAAAACTATTTTTATATATCAGCTGGTAAAATCTAACCGTAATATGAATGCAGACCTCTTTACATTCAAATTTATGGTAGTTCGTGGGAAAAATTCTTACTGATGGAAGTTAGTAATGACCTCTCATGGCTTTAGGAGGGAGGGTATTATTTGACAACCGTAGCAGACGTAAACACACGAAAGAAAGTATGTAGAAAAATAATTCAAGTTAATAAAATGATATGGGAAAATGACACTTGGTATAACATACCTTGAACGAAAAACTTATATGTATAAGTCAATTAATAACGAGGTCAAATTCTTGGTCGCAATGTTTGACAAATGTGTTTTTCTCTTATCAGATTTATCTGCTGATAAGATATTTCCTATCATTCAGAAAGTAATTG